AGTCCCCTCCGCCCGCACCTTTTCCCCGATCCCTCGCCCCTCCATCTCACCATGTCCTCCTACACCCCCCCGGCGCTCCAAACCCTGCGCGACGTCCCCCTCACCACCTCCGCGCCCGCCCTCCTAACCTTCACGTCGGCGCCCTCCGCCTCGACGCCCCAAGCCCTCTCCCACTGCGCCCTGCGCTCGCGCATCGCCACCTTCTCGCGCACCCTCGTCGCCTCGCTGGCCCCGCAGTCCGTCGTCGCCATCGTCGTCCCCAACTCCCCCCACTTCGTCCTCTCCTTCCTCGCCTGCACATCCGCCAACCTCGTCGCCGCCCCGCTCAACTCCGCCTACACCGCCGATGAGTTCCAGTTCTACCTCTCCGACGCCCGCGCCGCCGCCGTCGTCGTCAAGTCCGACCTGCGTGACGACGCCCCCATCCGCGCCGCGGCCGCATCCCTGAGCATCCCCGCCATCTCCTTCCCAGACCCCCTAGTCGACCCCGACGCGCAACCCGACTCCGCCGCGTCCGACGACTACATCACGGAACCGCCCTTCATCCCGACTCCGGACTCCATCGCTCTCTTCCTGCACACGTCCGGCACCACGTCGCGCCCCAAGGGCGTCCCGCTCTCGCACCGCAACCTCGTCACCTCCATCGCCAACATCGCCGCTACGTACGAGCTCACGGACGCCGACCGCTGCCTCCTCGTCATGCCGCTCTTCCACGTCCACGGGCTCATGGCCGCCACCCTGACCACGCTCGCCACTGGCGGCGCCGTCATCCTCCCGCCCGGCGGCAAGTTCTCAGCCTCCGCCTTCTGGCCCACGCTCGTCGCCGGCGGCGCCACGTGGTACACCGCCGTGCCCACCATTCAGCAGATCTTGCTCGCGCGCGCGGACAAGGATTATCCCAAGGAGAGTCCCCCCAGCCTTAGATTTATTCGCAGTTGCTCCGCGAGTCTGGCACCGACAGTCCTCGCTGGTGTCGAGGAGGCGTTTGGCGCGCCGGTTTTGGAGGCGTATGCTATGACAGAGGCCGCGCACCAGATGACCAGTAATCCCTTGTCAAAGCACGGACCCCGGAAACCTGGGAGCGTCGGACTGCCACAGAACGTTCAAGTGGCCATTCTGGATGACAAAAACGAAAAGGTCCCTGACGGGCAGATCGGAGAGGTTTGCATTCAAGGAGACAATGTCACTAAGGGGTATCAGAATAACCCCACGGCGAATGAAACGGCCTTCGCAGGCGGGTGGTTTCACACCGGTGATCAGGGCTCGATAGATACGGACGGGTATTTGAAGTTGACAGGGCGCATCAAAGAGCTTGTGAATCGCGGTGGTGAGAAGATTTCACCGCTGGAGGTTGATGCTGCATTGCTGAGTCATAAAGATGTTAAAGAAGCTGTCGCTTTTGCGGTGCCGGATGACAAGTATGGGGAGGAAGTAAACGCGGCAGTTATCTGGAAGGAAGGACAGGAGGGGACGTTGGAAGACCTGAAAGCTGCGGCCTCGAAGAAGTTAGCATCGTTCAAAATGCCCAAGCGCTTTTTCTTTGTGGATGACTTACCCATAACGGCGACGGGGAAGATCC